TACTAATTTGGCCGGAAATGTTTTGCGGGTCTCTGCTAGTTAGTATTGAATAATAATAGTACCAAACATGTCTAAGCCTAAAATACTTCATTTCAAAATAAAATTATCTTAAAACACTTTTTATCGCAAAAAATATGTCTGATTCCTTAAGGTTAGTATAATGAATTAAAAATATATATTTTTATGAAAAAATATTTCGAAATCGTCAACTACATTTTTGGCCTAAGCCAACCTTACAAGTACTACTTTTAGAGTTGGTTTAGGCCGTTTCTCCTTGAGAATTGCTGTATTGGTGTTTATAGTTCAAAATATTAAATTAAATATTGGTTAGCAGGATAGTCTGGTGAATTTTTATTTCAAACGTTATACAATTAGTAAATAAATAAGTTTTATTTCAGGAATTTAAGGAAACATTTGAGGCTGAGTCTGTAGAACGTCGTCTGCCCAGACTGATGTTAACAGCGGCCGTGTCAGCTGGAACAACGAATGTCCGCGCAGGTTACAATGTAGCAGCCGTGGCAGCGTAAGAACATCTTTTTTTTCTAAAAAAGTAAAATTTACAAATGAATTTGAAGGCTTATCTTGCCATGATTTTTGTTATTGTCGCCTTTGTAACTAAATGCCCTTTAATTCTGAACACAATCTACTTATCAGTTGATTTTATAGTAAACGTTCTTTATTTACAAAAACGAAAACAGTTAGGCATAGTACTTAACACAATAACAGTACCATATTCATATATTATAACACGCTTTAAGTTCCTGATTTTACTTATCTGACATCATTTTTCAAAAGACGTCAAATTGGTTTAACACAACACAAAGTTTTTATCGACGAGTCTAAGTTTCATTTTCAAGTTACTTCGTACCTTCTTCTCGTCCTCATGCTCGGACGTTAGTCATTCTCTAAAACGTCCACACGGGGGCGCTACGCAGTTTGATTCTTGACTGACTGCCCCAGTGTGTAGTGAGGCATGAACTGTTAAACCACTTTGTTTAACTATCGTAGGTAATTTTAGTTCGTAATACACATCCAGAAATAGGTTGTTAGTTTTTTTATTCTTTTTAAATTGGATTCTTCTACAGAAAACATAAAAACTTTTTTTTTAAATGAAAATATATTTAGGTTTGTCATAACCTTTTATCAAAATGCTCCATCTTCGACTGGTACACATTTAGAAACTTGTTAAACTTCATCAAGAGCCTGAAAATAGAGAGAATGGTTTAATCCATCTGCGTATAATTAAACGCAGGCAACTGTGACGTTTCGCCCCAAAACTCGTTGTCTAGCTAAACAAATAATGAGGTAATATCCTCTCATTATAGGCTGTTTTACTTGAATTACTAGTACGTTCAACAAGCGATGTGTATTTTAAACATTGTTCTACTAATGCGACTTTAATATTTCCAGTATTATCAAATTACGCATCCATTATTCATGAATTATTATTAATTTCATTAACACATCCTTCTAATTACTTAAGTTTGTACATCATATCGACGCGCGGTCGCTCAGCGTTAAGCCTGAAAACTTATAACGTTACATTTCAGGTTCGATCCCTGTGGTAGGCACAACACATACAGCCCATTATGCAACTTTGCGCTGAACAACCAACAACTACTTCAACCTCTTTTTTTGATTGATTGGAGACACAATACAGGTAGTTCATCGTGTAACTTTGTAGACACAGTACAGGTAGTTCATCGTGTAACTTTGTAGACACAATACAGGTAGTTCATTGTGTAACTTTGTAGACACAATACAAGTAGTTCATTGTGTAACTTTGTAGACACAATACAAGTAGTTCATTGTGTAACTTTGTAGACACAATACAAGTAGTTCATTGTGTAACTTTCGTATGTTTTGTAAATATGACACAAAAGGAAGGACAACAAATAACGAACCAATGAACAAGTAACTACCAGAACAGTTGGAGAGTTAAAACAGTCGTGTGATAGAATTATCTTACCATACAAAGTTCTTTCTGCCAGTCGGTCTCGTTCATCGGAGGGAACAAAGGGCTGTGATGTCCGGTCTGTTGCTCCCATTTGCCATGAAAATCATACGCCATAACATTCACAAAATCCAGGAGGCTGGTGAATGAAGCAGGCAAAAAAAAAAAGAAAAAGAATTTTGTGTTACAGTCTTAACAAATATACAAAGTTACACGATGAACTACCTGTATTGTGTCTACAAAGTTACACGATGAACTACCTGTATTGTGTCTACAAAGTTACACGATGAACTACCTGTATTGTGTCTACAAAGTTACACGATGAACTACCTGTATTGTGTCTACAAAGTTACACGATGAACTACCTGTATTGTGTCTACAAAGTTACACGATGAACTACCTGTATTGCGTCTACTGAGGGGGAATGAACGCTGGATTTGAGCTTTATAAGCTCTGAGCCACAGGAGGATACGTAGAGTAGCTTCTAAAACTTAACATTAAAAATCAACCGAGATATTACACTAATATCTGAATAGTTTCACGTGGACTGCTCGTGCCTTTCGTCTACCACAGTTTATATAAGTTTGGTTTTCACAGAGAATCGGGAGTGGTCATTAATTTCGATCTTTGTCCTAGGACCACGCTGTTGTTTACATATACAGAATACTTCTTATTCAACCCTTCTTTTTCTAGGGGTATTTTTGTTTTCCCCCACAACCAATTCTTGGGTCCTGGATCTCTCGATTCCAGCCGTCTCTTCAGCATTGTTTCCTTTTCTCTCTCTATCTGAGGGTCGCGGGTTCGAATCCCTGTCCCACCAAACATGCTCGTCCTTTTAGCCGTGGGGGCGTTATAATGTGACGGTCAATCCCACTAAAAGAGTAGCCCAAGAGTTGGCGGTGGGTGGTGATGACTAGCTGCCTTCCCTCTAGTCCAGGGATTCCCAACATTTTTGTTCCTCTGTACCCCTTGGCCTTGGGCATTCTGACAGGTTCCCATGTAGCCCTACAAATTAATGATAAAAAATTGATAAAATTATGTTGATTTTATATTATTTTATTATGATATCTGTACGTGTGGACTGTATAAGGATCTTATAGTATTGATAACAGCGATAGATTAAACTCAGCCTATATTTATGTGAGCCACTTCGCTCTCATTGTCTGACTGTTGATTAAAACACCGTGTAAGGTGTAAACCATGGTTATACTCTCAGACCCCTATGTACCCCCCTGAGAAGTGCAGATGTACCCCAGGTTGGGAATGTCTGCTCTAGTCTTACATTGCTAAATTAGGGACGGCTAGCGCAGATAGCCCTCGTGTAGCTTTGCTCGACGAAATTCAACAAATAAACCAATTAACCAACAAGTTTTAATAAACCAATTAACCAACAAGTTTTAATTTGTGTATTTTCATTACAGTGAAATGTATTTTGATATTTTAAGACGAGGATGTCCATGTTTGTCAAAGAAAAAGGGGAGCAGCCTCGTTGTCCAAGTATTAGATATAACAGTTAACTATGTGAGTCAAAATGTTAAAAAGGAACAAATCAGAGAACAGTTTTATGTATCTTGTGCTTTATTGCTTGTCTTATGCAAAGTCACAACTCTAACCCTAAAACGTTTGGTTGAAATACATGTTACTATTAATGATGAAATATGGGACTTTCTTATCAGTGATTTTTATCAATCACGTTCTCGGTTATGCTGTTAAACAAATTTCATTGGTTAACCTAATGCATCTGTCAACCGGTAATCTCGTTTCTAGCATATTGATTGGTTATTTTTGTTTTGTTCCGAATGAAAGTTAGGGTGAAATTCTAACAGAGATATAATGTGAGATCTTTATCAATCGGCATAAAAACAAACACTGTTATTTCTCGTATTCTTGTTTTCCGTGGTGTTTCTCCTCTTTATATCTGTTCAACAAAAGTAATCAGCCATCGTTTCAGAGCCAAAGCTAATGATTGTACATTAATTAGCTACACGTGTACTGTAAAGTTAACTTACTGTTTATTTTACCTGTAGGATTTTGGAGTTAAACTATGGGAGAAACATGGGGCTCCGAAAGATAAAATAGTCGTTGGCATGGCAACATACGGTCGTAGCTTTACTCTTTCGGATCCAAAGAGGAGTGGATTAGATTCCCCCACTGTTGGAGGGGGAACCCCTGGCAAGTACACTCGGGAAGCAGGATTCATGGCTTACTATGAGGTATTTGTTTTTCTTTCTCTTTATGGCGAGGAGAACATGAATTTTTTATTGAGGATCAAATAACTTGATTTGGGTATCTAGTATGTACTTAATGTCTTGGTTTTGTGTATATAATGTGGCCTTTATGACG